TGAATGGACATTAACTTGGCGACTGTATTTCTCTATTTCTCTTAAGTATTAATTGTGTGCATGTACCATCATAAAATTAAGATGTTATTTTTACTAGAACATAGGTATTGTGTCGGAAAAAGTGGAGTTTGGGGGTCAGCCGGTCTCTATTTCATTTAATCCCAGATGTTATGTTGTTCACTTTACGCGGGCCTCCGTGGGTTCAATTGACCGCGTAAAGTGAGGGTTCACTGTATAGGTAATATCCAAGGTCAATAGAAACAATAAAATCTAGTAATAATGACACATTTACAAATTATTTATTCCATTCAAAGAAAGGGTATACATTCATTTACAAATGCACTTTTCGTGATTTTTTCTAGCAAATAAATGTATCACATTGTCAAATGGAAGTTCTCTTGAAATGTCTGACTCGGTGCTTAATAACATCAGATTATTGAGTCTCCTGGCGCATCGTGGTCCGCAGCCTGTTTTTGGTCAGTTTAATTTTTGAGAAGGAACGCTCCCCGGTAGAATTGGAGACCATTAACACCAGATATACAGTCAATCCTTGACTTACGACGGGGTTAGGGACCGACGACCAGGTCGTAAATCATAAATAATACATAGAAAATCTAAAATGGGTGTCTCTTTTCTTCTCAGCACCATGAGAACTCTCATTTTTATGCTTGCCAGCCATTTTAAAGGGAATTACACACGAAAAAAATTTCAGTGCACAGCACAATCACTAACGTCGGGACTCAAAATTCTGTAATAAAACGACTCATTGGGTTCATCCGCGGCTTTTGCATACAACTTTACCAGAGACGATAATTGAATCATTTCATTGGAGATGTTTTCATCGATATCTTTTCCATAAGTTTGCAGGAGATTTTCTGAAGCAGAATGAATGGCATCGGCTGACATGGTTTCCAGATTGCTTAAAAAGCCGAAGCGATCCTTCACCAACGTGTATGCAGAAATCCTTTTGTTTAGGGCCACCAACATCATAAAATAATAATAATAATAATAAATGGTTTGTTAATGGAGTTGCAGCCGGTGGCTGAAAATATACAGTACAAGCTTACATGTGATTTAGACATAATAATATACATTTAATACATTTACAGGGTTGTACAGCACATGAATCAGGAGAGCTGTTTATTATTTTAGCAGTAGATGAGATGGTGCTGTTCATATATCTATCAGTGCGGGCTCTTATGGGCTGAATTTTGTTGTAGTGGAAGACTGCGCGAGGTGGGCGGGGTACTGCCGGTGGCAGTAGGTGGCGATGACGAGGATGGTGCAGTAGCTCACTGCCAAATCCTGCTAGTGTGTGGTGGTGGAGGTCACTGATGGGTGGCATTTCTGCATCATGCTGCCAGTTGTGTGGTGTAGTGTTCACTTATTTATACAGCCTTTTTATTATTTTATTATAATCTGTGTTAAATAAGTTAAATCAGTTCACCAAACATGAGTTTCAGTAGGAAATATTTGTGGCGGCTGGTGGAGTGGTGCACAGCGAGTGTTAGGCAATCTGTTCCACTTGTTTATCGCTCTGTGGTAAAGGTTTTAAAACTTCTTTTTTTTTCAATGTTGTGGGCGGGCCCTGGGCGTGCGCCCGGTACGCCCTCCCCATAATCCGGGCCTGCGTGTATATGTCCATTGAGGGCATGCAGCTTATCCTTCTGATTGCATTGAGGGATGCTGAGTCTCCTCGACTTTCCTGAGTGAAAATTGTGAAGCCTCTAAAATAAATCATTATTATTTTAGATACTATTTAGAAATATATTTTGCTTTCTACTAGACATGCAGTGCATGCCTTGCATTCATTAAGAATACGCCCACCCGGGCACAGGTCATAAACCCACAACAGGGCCTAGGGGGGTGAAAAAATAATACGAGTAAAAAGAAATTAAAAATAGAAGTTGTTTTGGTGTGGGATATCAGGAAAGATTTCCATCTAATGTTTGCCTTTCAAATTTGTACACAATATTGTACTTTGTCGGGGATTATTGCATATTCGTGAATATTCTGTGTAGAACTTGCTGGGGGTCTTTGTAAGATAGGGTAACAAGGAAATTAAAATTGGGTCATTCAGTGAGCAATTTTTTTATTTTTTTTATTTATTTATTTAATTTTTGTTTAATTTATTATAATTCCAAAGAATATGATCTACTATTCTGGTCCATTATGTCTTATTATTCTTACTGGGGCTTGTGCCAAGGCCCAGTACCCAGGTATTGGACCATATAGGGGGTTTACTCCGCTGTTTTCATCGAGTCTCAAGAAGCTGCTGGTTGACAGACATGTGCAACATAAAATATATGACAGTGACACTCCCATTTTTAACATGTAATGCAGTATAACCAAAAAAAAAGATGTTAATTTGTTATATCGTATATGATAGTTACTTATGATAAGACTCTATGAATGTAGTTGTGTATTGTCACTGTTTAACTACACCAGCAATTGCTTCAGTTAACCTTGAAGGTTCTTATATCAAATTAGCATAATATACTGTACAGTAGGGGGCAGGGAAAAAACACTTTTATTTGAGTTGCAGGCTGCACTTTTCAGGCATCGTTTGTATGGCTGTAACAAACACCTGCGCAAAATTTCATGCCATTTCATGCATACTTACCCTGCCGCATCGCGAACGACTTTTTGTCAACTTTTAGTGTATACCAAAAATTAGGTGTCATTTAATGTTTTCCAGGATAATGATAAATTTTACATGGGTGACATCGATTTAATTCACATGTTATTTTACAGGTACACCGTATAGAAAATCATTACAAGTTCATATTGAAATTCTTTTTTGTGCGGAACCTTGGCATCATTTTCCTAGACAATAATCTTTGCCTAATATATCCATCTCTCGATTCGTATCCCGTCACTTCAGTGCAAGCTTCAGTCATCACTTTTATGCCTCTCTCGACCGCCTGAGTGCTGTTTGGCCACTTGGGCACCACTAATGGTGTCTCAAGAATGTCATTAACCTGTAGATTTGACAGAGAAGCAATGTAAGGAGGCTCAGTCTTGAGTTCATTCCTCCAGTTAATCATGGAATGATAGTTTTTTGCTTGCCACTTTAGTTTCGGAGTCACCACCTTTCTCATGTTGACTACAGGAGGCACATCCTCATTCCCATCTCCATCTTTACCCTCCTCATCAGTATAGTTTAACAAATTCTCGTCAACAGCAGCATCAGAATCTTCCTCCTCCTCTTCAGATCTGCCAGTGCATTCTTCCTTTTGCTGATTCTCCTCTCTAATTTTTCTTATCATTGAGACAGCTTTTTCTCTAACAGTCATGTCCTCATCTGCACACATACCAAGAAGAAGTTGATCTGTGTGGGCGAAGTATGCATTTCTCTGGACAGCCTTCTTCACTATCGTCTCCTCCTCACTATTCAGGTGTTTCATATATAGCAGGGACTGGAATACGTTCCTTGAGCCGTGTGTTACGTAAGGGTGTATCTTGATGTAAAACCACATTGGAGCACTGAACTTTATTATTGTAATGACAATTCTTTTCAACTCATGGCTGGGTCTTGATGTTGCTACATACAGCCTGAGGATTCTACTCCATAAGGTGTTCCACCTTGACACACAGGGAGGACCTGGCTCAATAGCAGCCAAGTCATCTTCAACAACACCTGTGATAACTCCTTTACAAATCCTATACAGGTATTTCTGATCCCAGGACAGATCTTTCTCCACTTCATCATTAAACACAGGGAAATCAGGGAAACTGACTGGCTGGAAGGCGACAACTGGAAGCTCAGACAAAGACTCCTTGATCTGCTTTCCAATGGGACCACGCCAATGCTCAGGACCACTTGGTTTACCATCATAGTGATAAAAAACTGCGCGGAAAGGCAGCTCATTTCCGTGAAGCTGACATATGAAATAATGGAGCGGGTGACCAAGTAACATTTCAAGATGATGAATGATTCCATTTTCTGATCCTACATTTACATTGGTTCCATCACAACCAACACACACAATGGGCTGCTGGGTTAGATTTTTCTCCACCAGAAACTCGTGAATAGTTTTGGCAATCTGCTTTCCGTGTCCAGTCTTGGGAGTCACATGTGTGAGATATTCATTGCCAGGCTCAACCATGATGACATAATGATCTTTCACCATCATCCTCGAACTCCATTTCTCGGTCTTCTCATTCTTTATCATCACACGAGTGGCGGTCTTCTTACCATCAAAATAGAGTGACGTCAAATTATCTAAACTAGCCATCTCAATTTCTTGCCTCTTAAATCGGTATTTTTGTCTCGCATCCCGCAGCTTATGTGGTCCAATAACCTGACTCTTGTCATCCTTTGTGATAATGCCATAGTCAGTTAAGGTGGCAGTAGCAATGGCAGCTCCAGCATAATCACTAATCAAGTATCGGTCACAAGCGGCAGCCAGTGTAGGGAGTCTTGTCCGGTTCTGTGAACTGGTGTCTGTCAGAGCCCTTGGATCAGGGACAAAATCAGCATCAGTATTGACGAGAGGAATATCTCTTGAATCATCTGAATTATCCTCAACATAAGGAATATCTCCAGCGACCAGATATCTATGTTTTTGCTCAAGCTGTCTCCTAACTCTGTCCGCATCATGCTTCTCTCTTGCCGTCACTCTGTCCCACATCTTCGTCACTTTCATGTCAACCCCTGCAATCTTCATCTTCCTATCACCTCGCTGGTCAAGGACAAGACAACTTAAATGAAATAAGAGATATGAAAAAAAAGTTGATAAACACTGAACAGAACATTGCACCGCCACAGCGGCTGTTTGGCTAGTACTGTAGGTAAATTTAAAAATTTCAGTAGAAAATGCGGCAGACTAAACCTCGACATATCAGCTTCAAATTTGGCATGGAGTCTTAGATATGTATAAGGAACAATGCCTGAAGAGTGCAGCTTTGAGCAAAATTTCACTGCCCCCTACTGTAAATATATGACAATTTATAAATAAATATACAGTGTTTTTAAAGTGCTTTATATATCTAAACAGATTACTTCGCAAGTGGGTCTGCGCTCCTCTCTGTAGCCCGTCAACCATTAACAGTCGTTTGGATGCCATTGATGACTTGCGAAAAAATCCTGATGTTGTGGAGGAAGTAACGGCTTACCTCAAGAGCCTACCAGATTTGGAGAGGATCTTGTCTAAGTTAGTTGTTGTGTTTGCAAAGTAATATCATCATGTAATGCTTATATGTACCTGCAATAGAACTAGGTGTTGCTGGCCATTGTGTTCATAACATCTCAGAGTTTACGTGCTGTACTGTAACAAGTAAAAGTTGTCCCCAGGAACCTGTACAGTAGAGTGTTATTTTCACAGTTCTTCATTTGGGTCCAGAAAAAATTATCTAAATCAGTCTGCTACACTGGAAGAAAACTTCTGCTCTTAAATAGTCATATACTGTTTCAATATAATAACTGTAACCTTAGCACACATTATGGTCACTAACTGAAGGTCATAATGTCAGATAAACAAACCGGGAATTTTGTTTTTGCCCATATGGCAGGTAGATAGGTAATAAATGTCCATATTGACCTTAATTTATGTTTTGCAGAATCCACACTCAAGGTTTGAACCGCAGCTCCAAACATCCAGACAGTCGAGCCATACTCTTTGAAGATGTTAAATATAATAAGAAGAAAGTTGTTGATTTTCTGTCTGCACTGAATGGATTCAAAACCACACTGCAGATATTGAAGGCATTCAAAGGCAAGTTGTTGTTTTCAAGAGGCATTATGTGACTGGTATCCAGTGAGAGCTAATACTGTTCCCACTGACTTACAAACATTCAGATCATAGAGGGAGATATACCTGTTGTTAATGTGATAGGCACCCTGGGTTGACCTACACGTGTTCCGTGGTGTTCTCTGTGAGTTTAACATCACTATAGTACATGTTGTTGAGCCCATGACAAATTAGAGAAAAACAGCACTCCAAACCTTCAATATTATTGTTACTTTTCAGTCTTCATTTATGCACTTTTTAATTTTTTTTTTTTATTGGTACAGGTGTTAGAGATTCTCTTAGCTCTAAGTTGCTGAGGAAGTGTATGACTAGTACAAAAAAGGGTGGTAATTTCCCTCCTCTACAAGAAGCTCTCCATTTCTTTGATGTAAGTACCTGTACTGTAATTCATTTCATGAACAACTCCCTGTCCACTGGACAGGAAGTAGATGTAATGTGTGTGTGCTTGCGTGTGTGCGTTGTTCAGTAAACCAAGAGTATGGGAGAATATAATTTATATATTATACTGCTAAGAAAAATTTTGAAATTTCTGTTGCGATAAAATATAAATAAGATGTCTTTAGCTATTCTTGTCACTGTTTATGTGTAGCAAACACAGGTTTATTTAAATCATATTGTTCCTTAAATCTTTTTCCTATGCACAGAATGCTTTTGATCATGTTGAAGCACAGAAGGAAGGTAAAATAATCCCGAGTGCAGGTGTTGACGCAGAATATGATAAAGCCATTGATGATATAAAGAAAACAAAGAACAAACTTGCAGAATACCTCAAGCAGCAGTGCAGACACTTTGGGACAAAGGTAAGGCCAACAGTGGTCTGTTATTCTTCTAACTTGGAGTAGACATTTTCAGAACATTCAACATAATCAGTAGTGTTTAGCTGTTTTAACATTAACACTTCTAAGGAGTCTGTTAATGTAGCAATAATTTATTCCAATTTTATCCATAACTTGTTACAGTGCAAAACTGGAAAGTAAACACTCTCTTCTTACCCACCCTAAAACATCTCTGTTTCTCATCCATCTGGCAACTGCTTCTCTGCAGGGTTATCAACCTTATACTGCCATCTTAACTTGGATGTAGGAAAGTAAATTTACACAAAGGAGTTGTAACTGTAGAAGAAGAGTAATATACAGAGAAATAGTCTCTAAATAAAGTAGATGTTGGATTAAGTTTCCATCAAACTGTCAGACTACTGCTGTAGTAAGTTGTGAATGGATAATTGGCTTATGCTAATGCTTTTTTTCTTTATGCTATATACTGGTGTTGATCATTATACGATTGCTTGATATACAATCAATCAGTAATGTTTTGCTGTTACAAAATATATACAGTAATACACAGTACAGTACGGACAGAAATTATGCTGCACACAATGCCACAGTACACAAACACTGTCCACTGCTATGCACAATTTTCCAGAAAATGCACTGCTCGGAAAATCGTTCCCAAACTCTGAATTTTCTGGAAAATTACAATCAAATTTTAGTTCCGGCTGTTGGAGAATTCTGGCCAAGAGGAACTCCCGTTAACGGAGATATTACTGTACTGTATATACATATTACAAGAAAAATTTTTTAAGTACGGTAATAGAATTATTAATCTTCCACTAGGTGGTGTACTGGGGTAATGATAAAAAGAGATACCAGCTGGAGGTGCCAGAACATGCCTGCAGGAAAGCGGGGGATGAGTATGAACTACAGACCCAAAAGAAAGGTTACAAACGTTTCTGGACAACAACTACAAAAGACTTGCTGGCAGACATGATGGCAGCGGAGGAACATCAGGACGCAGCTCTCAGGGATATTGCACGCAGAATATTCCATCAGTGTGACGAACAGTAAGTAAGGTGGCTAGTTGTTTTGAGATGCAGATATGTTGATGTGATTAGTCTATTTAATGGTTACCTTATTGTGACTTTTAACTGATGAAATTAATTAAATAAAACGTGTTTTGGGGGGTAGGAACGAAGGGCCGGTCCAAGGAAGAATTAATATAATCTTCGTGCATTACTTAGTATTGCTGCCCTTGGAGGCTAACTTCTATCTGCCCTCTAGAGACTGTAGCTAGTTAACAGTAGTGAACCTTCCTCCTATAGTTGTTGACAGAGGTAACCTTCCTGAACAATGGGTTAGTGACATGCATTAACTAGATGTCTCTCTCACCTCTCTCCACTCAACACACTATGAGAGTGGAATTGGTAGAGGCCAACCAGCCAATATGAGGTACTTAGAATAATATGTATTTAAATAAGTTTTTGTTTTACAGTGAGTCAGCGCTTATCATTGTTTCGGTACTACCTCGCTAAACTTTAAAGACCAAAAATTCGTTTAATGTCCTGGTGATCCGATACTACACCGTTTTGCGTCGTCACAGACTACATTTTATGGTGCATCACCCTCTTTTGGCTTGGCGCAGAGTCTCAGTTACTCGACCTCCTCTCTCGCCCTCCTCTGCTCCCACCCTCCTCTTCCCCTCCCGCCATCTGCCTCCTCTGCTTCACTACCCACCACACACTCGCTCTACCACCTCCGCCCATCAGTGAGTACCAATACAAACTTAGTAGTTGTATATGTAAGCATTATTTTCTATAGAAATGGCAATGATTTTCTCTATATGTAATGTATTTCATGGGGCAAAGGGAGGCTCAGGAATGTAACTCCCGTATTTTATCTATTTCTTATGGGGAAAATTGATCCACTTAACGTTGTTTTGTATAACGTCGCATTTTTAGAAACATAAACCCCGACGTTAAGCGAGGACTTACTGTACATGGCCCTACAGTCAGGTGTACATAGCCAATACCGTATATCTCGGCCTATAAGGCGTCGGGGTGCATAAGACAGCCCCCCCAAATTTCCATTTAAAAAGTAGCTTTTGAGCTCTATTCGCTATATAAGACCAGTACCCCAAATGTGACACTTACCCACTGACTCAGTAGTCCTTTACCAACCATCCTTGGTTTTTTTAAAATAAGGCCAATTCACTTCAAGTAATGTCATCAAATGTTACCCGCTGGTGTAGTGTAAACACTAGTGACGTCACTGAAGCGTCTGCTATTTACCGGTAACTGGAACTAATGTCTGTGTCGAGTAAAATTTTTCCATTTACTTGAAATGGATTTACCGATTGATTTGTAATATACTGTAACATATTAAACACACTGCAAGTATTTTCTTTAATTTATACGCTTGCTTCGCACGAGACGATCGGTGGTGGGAGTGTTACCTCATCTCGGTGGTGGGACTGTGTTCCCACTGTTTATACAACAGCTACCACCGTATTCTAATTGTGGTGTTTCATTAGGATTTGAGTGAAAAAGGTTATATGTACTTACTACATACATATACACAAATATATATATATATATATATATATATATATATATATATATATATATATATATATATATATATATATATATATATATATATATATATATATATATATATATATATATATATATATATATATATATATATATATATATATATATATATATATATATATATATATACAGTATTACCCCGCCTAACGCGGTTTCACTTAGCGTTTTACCATATACGCGGTGCCTCGCCAGAGCTGAACTTTCACTTAACGCGGGTTTTTTCCACGTATACGCGGTGAGTGTCCGGCTCGAGAGCTATTTTTAGATTCGTCCCACCCGCCACCCTGCCTGACTGCCTGTTTTAGCTCATAAAATTCATACAAATTACCCAGCCAGAATATAATTTACATTGCTGGAATTCTTACAATATGATGATCATTTTGAATATAAACATCATAGATTTTGCATTAGACATACAAATTTTAGATATAAAGTTTATTCTGAGTAAATATGTTATTTTTTGTGCAAAATATATGACATTTGTATTCAAAATATTCCTGGGCTTACAAGGAATCCAGCAATGTCAATTATATTATCCTAACTTTAGTTTGAGGTATTATTTATTACTAAAAAGGTAAATATTCTGGTTTTCCCACACATCTGGTGGGATTGGTGGGGGGTGGGGGGGAGGGAGGGACCGACCGACCATCTGTTACCGTGTGAAGAATATTTTTTTTTTTTATTAACTGAAGATATTTGTTTTAGCTCATAAAATTCATACAAATTACCCGGTCAGAATATAATTTACATTGCTGGAATTCTTATAATTTGATGATCATTTTGAATATAAACATCATAGATTTTGCATTAGACATACAAATTTTAGATGTAATGTTTACTCTGAGTAAATATGTTATCTTTTGTGCAAAATATATGACATTTATATTCAAAATATTCCTGGTCTTACAAGGAATCCAGCAATGTCAATTATATTATCCTAACTTTAATCTGAGGTATTATTTAATACTAAATGTTAAAATTTAGTTTTTTCACCCAACATCTCTTGAAGGGAGGATTGGTGGGGGGTGGGGGGGGAGGGTTGGGACTGACCGTGCGGTTGGAAGAGGGGGGGAGGCAAGTGGGGTACTTTGATTGACAGATAGTGTCGTGAAGAATATTTTTTTTTTATTAACTGAAGATATTTGTTTTAGCTCATAAAATTCATACAAATTACCCGGCCAGAATATAATTTAGATTGCTGGAATTCTTACAATTTGGTGATCATTTTGAATATAAACATCATAGATTTTGCATTAGACATACAAATTTTAGATATAATGTTTACTCTGAGTAAATATGTTATTTTTTGTGCAAAATATATGACATTTATATTCAAAATATTCCTGGTCTTACAAGGAATCCAGCAATGTCAATTGTATTATCCTAACTTTAGTTTGAGGTATTATTTATTAAAATTTAGTGGTTTTCCCCAAAAAATTTCTCAGAGAGGGAAGAGCCAGCAGTGTAGTGTGAGAAGAGGGGGAGGGAGTTGAGTCCATTATTTGAATGGACATTAACTTGGCGACTGTATTTCTCTATTTCTCTTAAGTATTAATTTTGTGCATGTACCATCATAAAATTAAGATGTTATTTTTACTAGAACATAGGTATTGTGTTGGAAAAAGTAGAGTTTGGGGGTCGGGCCAGTTTCTATTGGAATTAATCCCATATGTTCTGTTGTTCACTTAGCGCGGTTTTCACTTAACACGGTACCCTGTGGGTTTTATTGACCGCGTTAAGCGGGGTACTACTGTATATATATATATATATATATATATATATATATATATATATATATATATATATATATATATATATATATATATATATATATATATATATATATATATATATATATATATATATATATATATATATATATATATATATACATATATATATACACATATATACATAAATACATACATACATACATATATATATATATATATATATATATATATATATATATATATATATATATATATATATATATATATATATATATATACACACATATATATATATATATATATATATATATATATACATATATATATATATATATATATATATATATATACATATATATGATATTAACAAAGTATATGTACAAAAAATAAATGTTAAATGAATTATTTATGGTATTAGGTACTGGTCACTTAAGATTACAAAGACGGGCTATAAATAGCCTTTTTATCTCCCTCCATCTCACCCCTGAGCCAGAGGGAAGGGTCTTGTAAATAACATTGTTTGCTTATTTTCTCCATTTACTTGAAATAGATTTTACCTAATTATTTGTTTATTTATTTAAAAGTCATTTACTGAATATTCTATGTAAAAAATAAATTTAAATTAATTATTTATAGGAGATATATTATGATCAGTAAATATATGGTATTACTGGCCACTTAGACACAAAGACAGGATAAAATAGTCCTCATCTCCCCTCTTTCTACAGCTGCCAAGGGAAGCGCTTTGTTAATTAAATTTGATGTTTATTTTCATTGTTTGTCTAATTTATCATGTATCAAAGTATTACTAAAAATTGTGTAGGTAGTAGGCAGTTACCAAACAGGTAGATACTACCAAAGATATTGAAGCATGTGTTGTCTATTTGTAGACCCTGCTGCTATATGGCATCACGGTAAATTGTGACCAAAGTCCAAGGTTCAGCTGACTCTGGATTCTTCGCTCATTTATCACAATTGCAGTTTCAATTTTGCTTTCTTTCCATTTGACAACACAACATACATACAGTATTATTTCTCACTCTCTTGATCTTTTTTTTTACTTTTGTATTTATTTATGGTTAGTTACTTAAAATAAGGCCAATTCACTTCAAGTAATGGCATCAAATGTTACTAGTCATGTAGTGTAAACACTAGTGACGCTAATACTTGCTGCCTGTATTTAAATCAATGCAGTTTCAAGAATTAATGCAGTCATTTATCAAATATTCCTTGTAAAAAATAAATTTTAAATTAATTATTTATAGGAGATCAGTATTATTATCAGTAAATATACCGACATGTATTACTGACCACCACTCACTGGCAAATGGGGGGCGGGGGAGGGGTGTGTGATGATAGCTGTGTTTATTACAGGGTATAATGTTCTTACGTATACAGACAGTGGTTTATAATAAATTTTATTATTTTAATATACCGTAATCTTAATTTAACCAGCTTGCCAAACGAAGTTCAGTATAAAATAATTGGTGGTAGGGACCTGTGAGTGGCTTACGATGTTTCCCACATCACCACTCTGGACAATAATTAAAACCACAAGTATTTTTATACTTGGTGATTAAGACACCCCCTCAACTTTGGGGGCAAGTAGATTTTTTAATGTTCAAATTCCGTCTTATAAGCCGAGATATACGGTAGGTGTGCTCTTCTGGTACCCTATTGCTGTAAACATACTAAAAGATTGCACTTGGAGTAACCTGG